CAACTCAACTCAACTCAAACTTGATTTACAGGGCACGTTTAAACAACCAGGGTTGACCAAAGTGCTGTACAGATTAAAAGCAGCAGGGATGAAAAAAGTGTCCCATTAGCAATGACAACAAATAAAATGAATTCTAAAATACATAAACACAGTGCTATAAAATAAAATAAAACCTGAAAAAATAAAATAAAATTTTGCCAGAAGTTAACTTTAACTTGATTAAAAGCCAGGGAGAAACGATGAGTTCAGAGAATATGCTGGCTGGAAGATGATGTGGAAGAAAAGAGTAGTCGATGATGTGCACTTTACTCATTATACTTATAGGAGTCTTTAATGGTCAAATCTTGACAACTGGAGGGTTATACTTGCCATTGCATAACAGGTTCTTTTCATCGGGCACCACCACTAACAGCAGTGATGAGTTTGTGAGTATAATTTGGCAGAGAGATATAGTTAAATATTCCCATTTCTACACATGATGGTACCAACTTGTACAACTGGTACACTGCAACCACAGATTGTCCATCCTGCTATTTTACTGGATATCTGGCTCATAATTATGGAAATAAACATAAAGTCTTCCCACCACTTAACATCATAAAATCTTCAAGCCTCCTTCAACTTAAAAAAGGTCGTAGAAGGACCTCTCATCTACTGTGGACTTAACTCCTGTATGTAAACTTGAACTGTAAAACCCCTGGTTCAGTTTAGTAGCTTGTAACAAGTAAAAACCGGCAGGTTGGCGGTTCGATTCCCCCCTAATCCAAGTCTGTCCGTTGTGTCCTTGGGCAAGACACTTAACCCACCTTGCTCCCAGTGTGTGTGTCCTCCACTGGTGTATGACTGTGAGTGTTGTGTGGTGGTGGTCGGAGAGGCCGTAGGCGCAGAATGGCAGCCACGTCTCCACCACCACCAAAGTGTGACTGTGTGAGCGAATGAATGATGTATCCAATGTAAAGCGCTTTGAGGGTCTCTGATAAAGCGCTATATGAAATCTGATGCATTATTATTATTATTATTAAAAACAAAAGATTTGACAACACCATAACAAGTAAGTGTTTTAACAGCATGAACACAAGTTTATTTAACATAATTGCAATGTGCAGTTTATCTTGTGTAATCTTTTGACTCTCAGTAGGAATTCTTCTTTGTTTAGCACTGTAATCTTAGTTTTGGAACAAATGTGGGTTTTTCAGCGACTGCACATGTATGATAACTGAAAACCATGATCGATACAGCTTGTATACTTATATAGTTTTAAGTGTACAACACAACTTGTCACATGCACTGTTGTTGTGGGGCAGATGTCCACACAACAATCGCTTCATGATTTTCTACTATGACCGACAACTTCAATATCATATGTGCATTTTAATAGTTTAAAGCTAAGTTTCTGAAGGCCTTGATAAGAATAAAAATAATAATAAGAAGAACTTTATTAATCCCCACAGGGAAATTCAATATGATGACCCTGTCCCCACAACAAAAAAGCAGAATGTTTAACTTATGTAAAACTATTTTTAAAAAGTTACTTATGATGCTTAAAGGTATATTTTGAAATAATTGAAAGTGGAAATAAAGCCTGACATACCTGCTGCAGAATGAAGGCACGTTAACCCGTAAAAGCATGGACCAGTGTTAATGGCTTTACAGGAGCAATCAGAAAACCTGAAACAAGTTGTTATGAGGATGTTCCAGTGTAATACAGCTGACCACTCAGTAGAAATACCCCAGGGAGGTGGGAAGGTTACCTTGGGGGAGGATGTTAAAGCATGTATTGAATTGTGTGCTAAGCCCTGTATGTCTGAAAGATTGGTTCTTGTGGTGGCAGGTGAACAAAACACATTTCTGCAAGAGCAGCTAAACCAAGAAATATAACCAGCCCCCAAACAAAGGCACTGCCTATAAATGCACCTACTGCCTTTTTCCTGCTGTCTTTTATTAATTCCTCTATATCCTGTTCTATCTTTATTTACTTCCTCTATCCTTATCTCTTTCTCAGTCCCGTTAAATCAGCCAGAATTCATAGGCTCGGTGCAGCTGTTGTGGGAGTCAAACCATCACAGCTATCATAAATCATATTGCCATTTCTCGCTTTGCAATCCAGTCATAGGCCTGCATATGGATGAAAACACTACCAGGGCTTTGCATCAATAATACAAAAATTGCTTTGTGTGTTGAAACACAAGTGTGTTGCATATTTATTCAGGGCAGTGCTGAAGTTTATAAATGGCTACCTTCCGTTTCATTCAGCTGAATGCGGTGGCTGATGACCGGATAATACCCAGCTCTGCTGAGGTTCATACTGGAAGTAATAGAGGGCTAAAAGAGCAGGAGTAGGAATGGTTTGGGTTATTATGATGGGTTGCTGAGGGCATGATGGCTAAAACAAGGGAAAAGGGATAAAATCTTGGGGCGTGAAACACATTGTTGCAATTAAATTAGGTTCTGGCTTTTCTATAGATTTCTCTTTATCAACAGAGCCACCCAAAAATACTGTGCAGGTTAATGCTTTATGTAGGGTATTTTTAGTCCCCCATGCTGTAAACCTCTGTCAAACAAGCATGAGTGAAATGCTGTTATTTGAAATCTATTGAAATGATATGGGCACTATACTTAATTTTAAATCAGAACCAGAAATGTCACTGTGTAAATACTCACTGACCAATAAATTCTTATCACTATATCCAATTTTACGTCCATTTCAGTTACTTTAGCTCAAACTTTCCTGCAAACATTTGTGGCTGACTATTGAAATTATGCACCATTTTTTTTGTGAAATGCAAAATACTCAAGTAGATAAACAATAAAACCAATAAAACTTATCTTTATATTAAATTATTTCATTGCATCATCTCATCCTTCTCACGGTTTTGTTAGACCAGAGTAATGCGAATAGAGCTGTGTGTGAATCTTCAGCACTGAAATGTTGTAGCTCAAAAGATTCCTCTCCTAATTCTGAGTACAAAGCACGACCCATCAGCTTAACTGAGAAACTGGACCAAATGTTAAATATTCTGTCTGGTGTGAAGGATTTCACCCCTCCGCCTCTTCAGTGTTAACTCTGGGGTTCTCATGGTGGCATTTTCTCATCATTATCCAGGTACTTTACTCAGGGTTACATCTCTTTTCCCAGGACAGTCAGCACTTGGTTAAGTGCCGTCTGTGTTTCTATGGATGATGCCCTGGGAGCTAACTGGGGCCTGTGAACAGATCGTCTCCCAGAATGAGTGGACAAGACTCTCTTCTGGGAATCATGAGACTTAACTGAGCTGTTGTTCAACTTCAGTAAACGGCTGAAGGAGAGACAGAAAGCCTTTGATAGATGTTCCCGTGGAGTGTAACAAAAGCAAGTTTTACATTCTTTATGTGATTTACATAATTAAAATCTGAGTTAAAATGGACAGGATGTGTGACTAACATAAGAAGAGGTGAAAAAGACAAACTTCTGTTTAATAAGTAAGTATTTTGGAGAAGTTTTTTTTAAGAGTTATTAAACAAAGAAATGAAAAGATCTGACAACTGCTACTCTCAGAAGAAAAAAAAAGAGGACATGTACATATCAGAAAAAAAAGAAAAGAAAAAAACTTTCTCAAACAGAAAACTTAACAAAACCAAATAGAAAAAAAGCCCTCACATGATGGGTCAAAACATGATTTATGGAAAAATCAAAGTTCTTCTGATGAGGTGCAGGGAGTACAGTGATTTGACTTTAAATCAGACTAAATATTTATGAGAATGGCAGACTTTACCAGGTGTGATTTGATCCTTTTTTGGCACGTCTTAAGTCTGTCTGACAGCTCTTGGCCCAGGTTGACATTCAAAAGAGGAAAGAATTTCTTTCAAGGAAATAAAATGTGCAACCTTGTCACTGAAACACAAGTGTCTCTTTGTATGGTTTGCTCTTTCTAAAGAAGGTTAAATCAGGTAACAGAGATATGCTTTACGGTCATGTCAGTTCATGTTCTTTTTCCTCTCTATCCAAACCTGTCTCGCAGTATAAAACATTAGAATATAACCGAATTTATCAAGATTTCTATGGGAAAAATAGGAACATTTTTCAGAATACTTTGTGTCTCAGATAGAGTTGTGGTGTTTAGTCTAGGAAAAAACTAAAACTGATAGAGGTTTATGTTTGCAGTTGTCTGTTAATGACTGAAAGCTTTACTTTATGGTTGGTGAAATGCACTGATTTATTGCTTAAGAAGGAATTTTTTCGACCTTATCTCTAAAAGCAAGCAGTTGACAATGAATGTTTAAAAAACTAAGGGTTTGTGGTCATTGGCCAACCAAAGGACAGACGACAAGAGTGATAAAACATTACAGAAATTAGCAAGGGATGGTAAAGCACACCAGGAGGTTAGTGAAGGAGATGTTGAACAAATTGAAGAAAACGGAAACAAAGTGGCGACAAACCACAAGTTAGGGGCTATGACAGTGTTGGCTGAATCGACCGTGCTGGTCAAGCTTAAAGGAAATACAAACAGAAAAGTTAGGGGAAGAGATATTTTCTGTATCTGATGAGGATGCAAACAGAGAATGCTAATGTTTTGGCTTTACCATGAGTGAAAGGTGAAATTTGAAGAGAGTAAAGAGGGCGACTGTTGTGACTCCTGAATTCAGAATAATGTATTCCTTATTGCCCCCTTTTGGAAACTGATCTACGCTGCAGATCTTATATGTATGTGAACTCACGTCTTAATAATGGAGGGGAGTCAGATTGGGGGTAATTGATTTAATTTGCAAGCAGAGGAGGGAATTGATCTGTGAGTAACACGTTCCCTTTATGGTTGTGAAAATGGTGCCGCTCTAACCTGGACTCGTTTGCTTCAGAGCACACACCTATTGTGTGCTTTCTAGAGCAAATATATGGTGTTAGTTTCACATCATTGTAATGTAATGATGGAAATCTGTACCCAGCCAGTAGATTATATTTCTATTCAGCATAGCGACGTATTGAGTTTATTATCGAAATGAAAAATAACCACACTCTGACCGGCTTTACCACACCCACTTTTTCTTTAATTAAAAAAACGTCATGATTTTTCCGCCAGTTCATACAATATGTACATCTCTGTAGTCATATAAATTGATTGAATAGTCCAATACATTACAGCATATATACATACCAATGGGTAGAATAAAAACCATCATCAGCTGGAGGCTTTAGACAGTTTTCTGGTCATTTTCAAGTCTGTAACCTCAGGTTTCAAGACCTGAGCTTGGAAGTCCTCTGATGCCGAGCACATCTAATGTGTTAGCACCCCCTTCAGTTTAAGCACTGTGTTGTCCAGTGTTTCCCAGTGCTGCTGGATTGAGAAAGAAAATGCCCTTGTGCAAAACACGAAGAAAAACAGAATTAAAGTGGCTGAGAAACAGACATACAAACCAGAGACGACAATCAGATAGAAAGGCGCCTTTGAGAGCAGAGGGGGAGGAGAAAAGAGAGTGTGCCAGTAGAACTTTTCACTTCAGATTGCTCTCGATCCAGTCTTTGAAATTTGTTGCATGTGTGTAGACTGTGTATAGGTCAGGATCACACTCCCCTTGGTCATAGCCAAAGCTCACCAGCCCCAGGAGTCTCCACAGTCCTTTGCTCTCCTCTTGTGCCTGTGTAAAACCAACAGAGGACTTCTGGTCATGGCTGGCTTGGTTGTCAGAGTGGGCAGGGAGGACGAGGATCCCCCCAGTGTCAGAGGGGCAAATGTTTGAGGGTCCATAGTCAGGCTTCTGGCTGCCACAAAGCATATTGTCTGTGACACTGACTGGCACACCATTGCGGGCATATTGCTGCTCACAGGGAACTACATCAGCGAGGCGGACTAGGCCAACCCTCGCCCGCTCATCTGGGCCTAAATTTGAATCAGGCAGCGGGGACCAGCCTGTCACCAGCCCCTGTCCTGTGGTTACCTCTTCTTCTTGGTTGTCGGAAAGGCAGAGAGGTAAAACCTTCTCCCCGATTCTTGCTTTGTCCAGTAATTTTACCACTGCTATGTCAGAATCGAGGATATAGGGATCGTAGTTTGTGTGAACAACGATGGAGGCCACCTGTGAGGAGAAGAACATGGACTTAGTCTGCAAGTTTAAAAAATAAGAGAAGAAGAAAGATCTCAGTCAGCTTACCCTGAGGTGTTGGAGACCTTTAGTTTCCCTGTAGTCATCCCGGTAGTACTTCCCCACCACCACCTTGATCTTGGCTGCATCCAAAGGATACACCTTCCCCAGCTCTGTCACACAGTGTGCTGCCACCACCACGCTGCGCTGGTTTACCAGAGCCCCACTGCACACCAGCTGCCAGTCAGAGGCTTGGTTGTAGTTGCCATTTCCTGCTCCGATGTTCTTCTTCAGGGACCCTGCTTGGCTGTCCGCCTTGGTCACCTTTGTCTGTGCCGCACTGTTGGTGGAGCGGCGGTAGATGGCTGCCAGCCAAGGCCAGTGAGCCTCTGCAGGCCTCTCTGGGTCAAAGGTCGGATGCTTCCCACATACTGCCAAAGAGGAGGTGACAGGATGAGACGAAAGAGTGAGAGGCCATGAGCAAGAGGAGGAGATTGTAAAAAATTAGACTTCTATTTAGGCTGTGTCAACACTTACTGTTGCTAGACTGTCTTTATACTATCCTCTCTGTCTGAAAGCTCGTCTTTTAGAGCTTGATTGACAAAATGCAAATTAGTGTCACAGATCGTACAATCTTAACACTCAGAACTCTACAGTTTTGTGAAGATTTGAATTTGTCCATCTATACCTATTTGTGAACCTCTTTTCTTACCTCCTGCTACACTAAGATCTGTGCTTTGATAACATCAGATTTCTTCTCAATACCTCCCTCATCATTATGTAAATGGAAAGGTATTGTACGACTGGATCCTCCCATCTTTCTACCTGCTGTCAAAGCAGCTTAAGAAGTAAACACAGAGTGTACGCTTTGCTTTAGAGGGTTGGTTGGACTTCAAATAAACTCCACTAGTCTATCCCCTTTAATTATCATCACCATGTACAAGTTAATAAAAAACTACTTGGTTATAACTTTAACATGTGCAAAAATCTTTATGCAAGAAGCAATGGCAATATCGCGGGTTAAGGATGTGTTACATTTGTCATCATAAGGAATGTGCAAAAATCTGTCAAAGTATCAAACCAGGTCAAAACTAGGGATATTACTGTTTTTATCCAAGGTGTGGCTGATGAAAATCATAACTTGAATTTGTGCATGTAGTTTCCAATTAAGGAGCGTTTTAATTAAATATCCATGCTTTTAATCAAAGGATGATTTCTATAAGCTTTAGAAGATTAGCACACTAAGACTAAGTGATATTGAGGAGACAAGCACTGGCAGGTAACTTCAGAGATAAATGAAGAAGCTGGAAACATGTTAAACAATGATAGCCACGAGAAATGGTGAATGTACTGTATATCTTTATATAAATATTTATCTATATATACATAAGGATAAGCCATGGCTCAAAATTTACAGCACATTGTAATTGATCTGTGGTTTTAATTTTCTGTAATAACAAGCATGTCCATTCACTTGTTCACTGTGGTCACAGAACTAGTTGTCCTGTGCTGCCCTCACCTGGTGAACAAGATACATGACGCCCGCTCCACTTCCCAGTTTTGAGGCAAGTGCGCCGAGCGCTGCCAGAGTGCTGGTAGAACTGAGACGCACACTCGTACTCTATATGTGTGTAGAGGTGGTGGAAGCCTTGAGGCAACTGGGGAGGCTGAGGGGGCCCTTTGGAGGGGTCATCAGACTGCAGCTGCCAGCCCAGAGCAGAGGAGTAGAGTTTATGTACAGGTGTTTTTCTGAAAGGGGGGCAGAAGGGGACATGGATTTTAGACACATCTTTTAGGTTGAGTAAATACTTTAGAAAGTGAGTACCTCATAAATTTAAGAGTAATTCCTTTTTGTCATGGTTTAGTATTAGCTGTGCATGTTGGGTGATACAGTATGTGTTTATATACCTGGATGGTGCCTGAGGAGGCAAAACTCTCTGTCTCACCAGCTCTGACACTTTGGGCTCTCTGCATGCTAAAAAAACAAAAACAAAACAAAACAAAAAAAAACTTAAAGTTTAACATCAAGGTACCATTCACATCTCAACAGTAAACAGACTGCAAGGAAATGTAAAGTGACATTAGACCCATGTCTTTACCGCTTATCATTGTCTTGAGGGGCATACTTAAGTTGTGGCTTTTATGTATGAAGACAAAATTATCATTAAAAGCTAGCATTAAAGCTGCAGAAGAGGAAAATCTAGACTGGCTGTGTTTGATAATTATTAATTTAGATATCAGTATCTCAAAAGTTCACTAACTGAGACTTGTTATCTTGTTTGAGTTAAAAACTAGGATAAGTTGGATTTTGTTACATTTGCTGTGTTTTCGTATTTCGTTGTGCTAAACGCACAATGTAAGGGGTTAAAGTGAGATTTAGCAGACAGACTGAAGGATGATATCAATCCCCTGATCTCACTCGAAACAAGTAACAGAAAACAGAAAGCTGAAACAAACGAACTGGCTGCTGTATCCTCTAACACAGCAAAACTTGATTTGTCTTTCTGCCCTGGACCTTTAATTTATCAGGGAGCTCCAGTTAATGGATAGTTTGACCACTTACCTTTTGGCAAAGAGCTTAGAAACACCCAGACCAAAATCCATCTTATTAACATTCACAGCTCCAGACTGATTAAGCGTCTTTCTGAGTGAGCCCATTTATCTAACATTAAGCGAGCCAGGACCCCTCTCTATTGACTTTACTTTTTCAGAACTTGATCATTTTTAAATTAAACATTACTTTGTGGTTTGTGCTTCCAACCAGGAACTTTTTCTTTTGTTGTTGTTCTTGATTTTGCTGCCCCCTATGGACAAAGATGTGGTTGTACGGTATTCTCTTTGCTTATCTCGTCTGGTAAGATGTGTTTTTCACTTCCTAACGTGTTTTTTCTGATCAGTCAAAAGTGTAATGCACACGTTTTATCCTGCTCATCATGATGAAAAATGTACAAGCATTTCTTAACTAAATATGAGAGAGCAAAGTCATGACTGTACCTCTGACACAGAGAGGTTGCTTGCCGCTCCAGGTACCGTCTGACTGGCAGGTGCGTCGGGTGTCACCACTGAGGGCATAGGAGTGGTTGCAGAAAAACTCCACTGTGTCAGGTTGAAGTTCAGGTACCAGCTGGTGGTAACCATGGTAGAGGCGAGGGAGAGGAGGGCAGCTTTTGTCTGCAGGAGGGCAAAAGAAAGATGAGTAACATTGACAAAGACTGCATTTTTCCTGATCATTTATCTGAACAGTTGTCTTACCCATGAAGCTTTGGTTGATTTCTTTCTCCTTTTCCTTTTCTTTCGCCTCCTCTAACTCCTCCTTTGTTTTCTCCACAGGCTTCTCCTCTTTCCTGTCCTCCCTAATTGTTGGTTTTTCCTTGGCTCGCCCACCTTCCTCGCCTCCTGCTCTGTACAGGGTGTACTGTGTGACGTTTATTCGAGTTGGGATGATTTTTCCCAGAGAAACTATGGTGTTGTTTTCTGTCTTTCGCTCTTTCGTACCCTGTAGGACCGTGTTGTTCTTTGTCATTTCCAGTTCAAATATTTCCACTGTGTTTTCACCCTCAGATATGACCGTCCTCAGCTTGGTATCATTCGGGCCCACTTTATCTGGATCCCTTTTACCATTCACCTGCTGGTCCTTCCTCTCTTTCTCCTCTTGTCCTTTATCTTTTATCACAACTATTTCCGTGATGTCTGTCCTTCCTGGATCTAGGTTTGTGTCTTCTTTCTTTTCAGGCAGCTTTTCAACCTCAGGTTCTTTCTTTTCAACCGTGTTCAAGCTGTCATCAGAGCCTTTACTCTCCTCCTCTTTACTTCCTCCTGTGGGTTTTTCTGACCCAGTATTTCTTTCCTCTGGCTCTTCTCTAGTCCGATTCTCAGCCGCAGTTTTCTCTGGAATAGTGCCAGTGTATTTATCTTCTCTGTCCACTGCTGTGGTATTCTCATGCCCGGTGTTTATATCTCCCTCTCCGGCACTCTCTTTTTCTCCAGTTGTGTTTTCTTGACCCTTCTCTTTAGGTTTTCTGGTGTCTTTGTCAATGAAGATATCTTTGTCTATGTCTTTGCCCTTTTCCGCTTCAGTAAGAGTATTATTGACTGTAAACAAAGAACATGACATAAGGGTAAGTAAAATGACTTAAAATCTTTTCAACAAAATCGCATGGTCATGCAGAATAGTTTCAGGATTTCCCGATCAATTTCTAACTTTCTGCTTCATGAATTCAAAAGTTTTGTGCACTTTTTCCACTATCTCGTCCACTTTATCTTTAACCCCCATCATTTAAAAGACCTTCTCTAACCCTTGGTGCAAACAGGAGAAGGTCCACTCCAGGTATTGTTTGGTAGGCAGGTCCTCTGGGAGTTCCCGCTGAGCTCATAGGGATGGTAGCACAGGTACTGCAAAGCAATGAGGACGTCATTGGGTCCATAAACCAGGAAGTGGTCCCCATGTTTTGGCTTTGGTGGTAAGGTGCAGAGTCTTTCCCGCGGTACTAGGCAACGGACAGAAAACCAGGTTTTCAGAGGCATCAAATCATCCACAATCTGTATCCATGACGATGATACACAAGAAAATGACCGCGTATAGCTCTCACAGAGTCTGAGTTTTAATCATTTCGCAGGAAAGTAAACAATCCAAATCAGTATCTTACCACACTTTGGGGCAGGGGCACTCCAGGAGCCGTCACTCAGGCAGATGGCAGTGCGAACTCCCCGCAGCTCAAAGCCAGGATCACAGCGGAAAGTGATGCGTGCCCCTGAGTGATGAAACAAACCCTCGGTGGATCCATGGGTGGGGACTGGAGGCCTTTGGCAGCCCACCACTGAGTGGAAATACAGGCACACATTTTTTATTCATGAACACATGCTGTCATATTTTCCTATTCCCTGACTCGAAGCAATACCACCAAAATTAATACATCAAGAAGATTTGAGAGGCATCGCAGGCATTTCTATAACGTCTATTTATTGCACCTTCCTGCAGCAGAAGACCACACAAACAGACCCTCAGTGAGTTTATTAGCATCTCATGTTAGCAGGTCCGACAGGTAGCCTATAAAACTAAATCTCATCTTTCAGCTCTTTATTTAAAACTGTCCAGAACACTTCAAGCTCAGCCTGCTACCTTAGAGGCTCATTACTGAATCATTTCACCCACTCTGGTTAAGTGTGAACAGTTCACAGCAAGACTCTCACACATGGCTTGTAAATAAGGAGGAGAAAGTTGCAATAAAAGCAGCTGTAGTCCAAACTGTTCAACTTTCCAGGGCTGTAAAAGTGGGTTTCATGAAGTGGGCAGAGTGGATTGGTAGTGTTTGGAGTACTGCACTTTACTCTGTTATGTGGCAAAATTCTCCAAAATAATAGTGTCCATGCTATCAACAGGGATAATCAAATAGCAGCCATTTCCCATGAGGGAGGTTCAAATGCTATTTCATTTCCAGGTTTGACAATGACTAAGAGACAGAAAATATAACAAAGTATCATCATTACATCAGTTCTCTAATATAATCTAAAAAATATAGATGGTGTAGTAAAATGCATTTTAGCAACAGTCTGACAGGAACCAACATCTAATGCTGTTATTACTTCAAATTTAGCCTTGTTACCCTCTTCATTTTCACTATCCATCTTTCAGCTGCATATAAACTGAACAGATGCAAAATAATAGTGGTTACATTCATTATGTTTGTGAGTTGGAAACTGTAACATAACACTTTTACTATTAACAGCATTGGAAACTTTCAGTGCTGACTATGAGAATATAGGTCTAGCATTTGCATAGTGTGAATATAGTTGTGAATATTGTTATTTTTATAATTGTTTTTTACTTTGCTAAGATTTGTGCTTTTTCACTGAACTTACGCAACTTAATGAGTGTTTTCATTTACTCACAGATTGTTTTCATTGAATCAGAACAGTGTGAAATCTAAGGAGGAACCTGATGAGTCACAAGGCTCTCTTTGTTCTACCGGACAGGTTTGCTACAGTAGATAGACGCCTCAAGGTCAACAATACTCAGACATAATGATTTGGAACTGATCATTCACGCATTTGTGTCTTCACATTTAGACTATTGTAACAGTTTTTTTTTCTTGTGTGAACAAAAAGGAGCTGCAGTTAGTACAAAACTCTGCAGCGAGAATTCTGACCCGCTCCAATAGGAGGTCACAAATAACCCCGATACTTAAAGCCCTTCATTGGCTGCCTGTTTCTTTTAGGATAAATTTTAAAATTCTGGTTTTAACTTTCAGAGCCTTGCATGGTCAGGCTCCAGCTTACATCAATGATCTGATCCAGCCTTACACCCCAGCCTGGGTTCTGAGGTCTGTGGGTCAGAATCTGCTGATGGTGCCTCACACTCATTTCCGGACCAGAGGAGACCAATCCTTCCAGGCTGTTGCTCCCAAGCTCTAGAACGATCTTCTGCCTGCTCTGCGTTCGATGGAGTCAGTTGACTCCTTCAAAAGGGAACTAAAGACTTTTCTGTTTGTTCAGGCTTTTGCCTAACTGTCTTAGGGCTGCTATGGTTGCCATAGTGTTGTTTTGGCCTTTTAAATTTTAGCTTTGTATGTTTTTATTAACTGTGTATTGTTTTTGTTTGTTTACTGTAAAGCGCTTTGTGACCTTGGTCTGTGAAAGGCACTGTATAAATTAAGTTTAATTACTTACTTACACACATATTTTATAGCACATTTTAGTAAGACCATGTGAACAGTGGTCGGCCTGTTCACGTTGGAGATAACTGGGCAATGATGCTCGGCTGTGTTTAAGTCCAACCTCTGTCCGGGACAATCCCTGCCCAAGAAGATAAACGTGAATGATACCCGGAAATGGGCACTTGTTGTGATGGAGATCCTAGGAGCTCTGTCATTGCGAGTCCGGCGCTGTATTACTCTACCTGTGACCATAATAAAAGACTTCTTTGGTATTCTTTGAGCAGTCAACTAAAAAACCATTTCTTAAAATATAGTGTCTAATTCCATCTTAAAAGCAAACTACGAATGTGTATATACGCATGCTGTTGTGCAAGACAATGCCCAAAAAGCCAAACACACATTTACATCAAAGTAATCCTACATGACAGTTTCTTTGCAGGGTAATATTCCTACAGGCGGTGCTTGGACTTTAAGTTTGGTAAGATCCAATGAAATGCTTTTTCTGTCGTTTTATTTCCAAACCAAAGAACTCACTCTATAATCTGGGCGATTTCGCCTTGCAGTATTTCATCCTTTGGTCCCTCAGGAAACAGAGAATTTCTGCTGTCCACCCAAAAGTGGAAAAGTAAACTGCAGTTGACCTTTGAAAGTGTTTTCAGAGACAGTATCTTCAGCTGTTTTCAGCATTTTTGTTTCGTGCTTTAAATGATCCAATCCTCCATGACAGATTTTCGTTCCATGTATAACAAAGAGTTGGGAGATTTTAAGGTGGAATGCTTACATAATACACAGAAACCCACACATGCTGTAAGTAAATTATCATTCCTTTTGTTAACTCTTGGAAACTCTGTTGAAAACTGCACTCTTAAACAGATTAGGCTCCAGGACAGATTGAACTGTGCAGAGAAAAAGGAGAGGGCAAGAGAAAATATTTTCTATCTCTGTTTTTCATGATAACTTGTCAAAACTCCCTCACCGAGAATGAGTTTGAGCTCAGGTTTAAACCAGATGACAGGCTGATTATTAGAGACATAAAATATGGCTGATGTCAGACTCATACTCAGAACTCTCCATCTGCCTCTGGGACTGAAATGTAGACTACATTTCCTCAACAAATATGTCAGACATTAGACACTCCAGTTCTGTTTCATTAGGATTAACAGCTGAGCACTTCTCATGGGAATTCATATGAAAGAGCACTCTGCAGATTCCTTTACTGTCAGTCTCCTCTGATGGAAAATCTGGCTCATGTTACAGAAGTACAACTGTTTCACTGTCGATTTTATAGACTCAAATTTTGCCCTGAAAATGACTCCTCAAAAAAAAAAAGAGGGAGTGGAGTTCAGTAGGTTTGTTTTTCCAGGACCTTAGGGGAGGTGTATATGATGTAAAACCCTAGTTAGGATCCAGACACCTATAAATAAAAGACCTCATAGGCCTGTCACATCCTGATTGATCTGTACCCCACATGAAGATGGAGCTATACCACTGTGGTTTAAGATGATTGCCTATGTTTAGAACAGCATTTTGTGGGGATCTGCAGAAACAGGAATGGTTAGCTAAAGTTAAAAAGCTGTATTTTTCAGTAAATATTGCAGAAGCAATTTCACTCCTTCATTGTATTCTTCTGTTTTCAGCAGTAGCAAACATCAAATTTCCTACAAAAACATTTGCTGCATGGTTATTTGGGTCTGCAGCCCATCTGTTGACACTTCATAAATATTTTTCATATTTGTTAAGGCTGACTGACCAAAACCATTGATGTGACTGCATGGCCAGGGGAGGCAGCTGGCTTGGACCTCACCCAAACCACAGACCTCTCCCTGGTGACCATGAATCACTGCCTGCCCCAACACAGGCAGGCTCAGTTGTTGGTAAGTTTTGCTGTAACCAGGTGTGTCATAGTTCTGAAGAAAAACACCAGAGGAAATCTAAGATTTCACAATTGTCATTAGAGCGAGACCAGTTACTAAGAAGATGGAAAAATCAAGTCATATCCTCATCATGTTGTAAAAGACTTGGTTTTCTTCCCATGACATATTCTTTCTCCTCCAAAAGCATGAAAATTAACGTTTTTATCTAATCATACTGTAAAGACTCAATTTTATGACAGAAACTCACCGTTTTCACACCTTTTGCCCGTGTAGCCAGCCAGACAGGCACAGTGGTATGTGTAAGAACTGTCCAAGATACAAGTCCCGTCGTGCAGGCATGGAGAGGAGCTGCAAGCTGTTAACACAAAAGTGAGAGACTGTTAGGGCACAAAAACAAATGTTGTACTTACTAGCTATATAATAATACAATCTCTACTCTGAAAGGCCGAGCTCCATCAAGGGATTCAAAGTTGGCACTGTTTAAATATCACTTTCTCTTTTCAATATATCTGTGTGTGAGTGTGCGTGCGCGTGCACCTCCACACAGTGAGCCTCTGTTTGCTTTTATTAGATCTGGCTTAGCTGCTTGTAACTTGTAAATGCAAGTGCGGGTCTGCTCTGAGTTGTAGACCTTCCATATGAGGAAATTTCTGGAAAGTGAGGACATTTTGGTCGGCCCTCGCTTCCTCAATGGGCTGTTAGTGGGATCAGCACCATGACCAAGACTTTAGCTGAAACGTGTAGGTGTCAGTCACGCACTGTTAAAGGCTTTTTATTACATGTGGGCCCTGAGGTACTTGGAAACTTTTTTTTTTTTGGTTTGCACTTATTGAAGTGCATGAGTGTGAAGAGCTGCTTTGTTCATTGAGTTTGACATTTAAGATGGCTTTGTATTTGTTGTGATTAAAGCAGCAAGGACAAACTGGTAATGAGCTTTTGGATACAGCAACCGCTTTGCTCAACAATTGTGCTCAAAGTGAGAAGCTCAAATCCTGGTATGATATTTCACTGCTGTTTTCTATGTCATAAAATCTATAAATCAAGGATATCTGATATAGTATTGATTATTTTACTTCTCTTTCTACAGAAAAGACTAATAATTCCTTACTTGACACTGGTCCATCAGTAATTCATAATATTATCAGCTGATCAGCCATGTTCCTTAGGTTTGATATACTTTCAACATTGTTATGCATATAAAATGAATGCGAAATGGACTTAGTCCAGCTCATTTAATCTCTCTTTGTTGGAGCAAAAAATGTAATATGTGATGTTAATTTGGTTTTCTTCTGGTTTTATTTGAGTGCAGTTTGTGTATTTTCCCTAGTGTTTCTGTTCCTCATTGTTCCTGTTCCCCTGTAGTCTAGGCTTGTGAATTTTCAGTTTGTGTTTGACCCTGTTTCCCTCCTGTTCTCTGCGTCTTATTCTTTACATCAGTTTTCAGTGTTTCCTGTTTTATTTTGCAGTAGTTTATTCCTTGTGTTTCTAGTCTGGTTTTACTTCCCTAGTTTTCCCTCCTTCGTTAATCACCCATGAGTTTCACCTGTGTCTCGTTAGCCTCACCTGTTGCTCGTTTTCCAGTGTGTATATAGTCTCTGTCTTCCCCTCTGTGCTTGTTGGTTCATTGTACGTTGATGTGTGGTGGTTGGAGAGGCTGTAGGCGCAAACTGGCAGCCACGTTTCCGTCAGTCTGCCCCAGGGCAGCTGTGACTACTAATGTAGTTTACCACCACCAAAAGTGTGACTGTGTGAGCGAATGAATGATGTATCCAATGTAAAGCGCTTTGAGGGTCTCTGATAAAGCGCTATATGAAATCTGATGCATTATTATTATTATTATTATTATTATTATTATTATTATTATTATTATTATTATTATTATATGTTGATGTGTAGGCTTGTCTGGGTAGTCTATGTGTGAATCTTTAGTCTCTTTGTGTTTTTTTTTTTTCTCCAGTGTCTTTAGTTGGATTTTTCTTCTTGTGTTTTTCAAGTAAGTTTTTGTTGCCTGTCATTTAGTTCATTTTAAATAAAATCTTTTTTTGTCTGCATTTGGGTCTTTTCCCTTTTTGTTTAACTATGGCTCATGACAAAAAAAAACGTCAATAAACATCATGGCATTTGCCCTACCTGAGTTTTCCTGGAAAGTTGCAAAGAATCCATCAAAGTTCTTGTAGCCATCAGACACAAAGAGGATATGCAGACTGTTGCCAGAGCTCTGAATAGGAAGGGGTCTGTTGTTCCCACAGAATCGACCGATAACACCTGAGTTGATGCTGTCACCATCCCGTACCTCCACGTAGTCGTAGCGACAGGAATGGTGAAACTCCAAACTCAGCATCATAAACCTGGTAATCAAAACAGGAAAAATGAGATGAAGGAGTTACAGAAAATTTTAAGGAAGGCAGAAGTATCTATACTATCATGTCAATTTACTGCAACTGGACCACGTCAGAGATCATAGAAATGTCCTGAGCTTTTTGATGGAAACTCTCAGTTGTTTCTGCTGTATTTGTGTTTCCCAGGAGTACAAGAGCACCTGTGTTCCCTGGCAGCGCCTCACCAGCTGGCATTAGTGTACGGACCCTTTAAAATCTTTCGCCAGAACACAAGTAATGAGTATAAATGAAAGTTACTGAACACATTAACAGTTGCTCAGATTTTTCCACAATGTGAGTTTTTTTCTTACTTAAAATCTCAAAGCAGTTGAAGACTGAGACATATGTTTCTTTATTTTTAGTGTAACAAAGATTATAGAGACCTAGAGATTAATGTGATAGTAAATACTGCAGCAGAGAAGTAGACTGAGATCATACCAAAGACAGGTATAGGCAAGTTTAACCACATCATTACTATATACACTTACTTGGAACATTATTATACAACCTGATGAAATATTTGTGATAAAACCTCATAATTATCGACACTTGGCTTCAACAACACAACTGTCAGCACATTAAGAAAGCAAAAGCAGATGCAGATCTTTGGCTCTGTGGCTTTCACAGCCTTTCGGGACATTTTGAGAATTTTATTTCCCCTTAACACTCAGTTTTAAAGACACACATAAATGCCTTGGCAGTTATACAATCAACCATAAGTATGGCTGATAAACAGCATTATCTATGCCTGTCTAAATATGGGTTTACTTATTTTAGATAACAGGCTGTTAAAGGTCAATTAAATCAACTCATCACGATGGAATAAACACAAAATTGCACAAGCATAATTTTAGACACAAACACTAAAAGTAGTGATTACTGTCATGAAATTTCTGGGTAAGTGTTTGGAAAATGTTCCTGTTTTTCTCTGGTGTAGTAAGATTATCCAGAAGGAGCAGCTCAAAAGCCTGTTTAAATGTGAATTTAACAGAGTGTGATAACTGTTGGGAGGAACTGTTTTCAGCTCTGAATGTGATTTAATTTGGGTTAGCTGCATTCAGAGTGTGACATTAAAGAGACAAGCCAGTTGGACCAGAAAAAACACAGAAGAGGCTCCTTTTTTCATCTCTGATGTAATCTCTTTGGCCTCTCTTTGGAGCAGACATGTAGGACTGCTGAACTTCAAACAAGATGCTGGCATTCTTCCAAATCCTGTAATTTTGCCCGTTTATCGTACACCCTCTGGTAACGGAAGCTTAGACTAACGACAGATTAAGACATGGTAAATGCTAGCCTGCAGGAGGTCCTGACAATGAATGCCAGAAGTAATTCTGAGTATGTGTTGCAGTATACTGCAAGCCACACATTAATATACAACAGACACTCAACTTCTTTTTAGGTTATGCATGAGCTCAACGGTTATTTCTGTTTCCACTTTTTTTAGATTTATGTCACACAAAGAAGCAGAAATTGACACTAGTTAGTCAATTCAGCACTGGACCGATGTATGTTGAGGTTAATACTTGTTTTGTTTAATGTGAAGCTCTATAGAGAGCAGAAAAACTACTTGGAATCATTTTATTGCTTTTATGTGCACAACAAACCGACCTTAAATTTAACTGTATGGAGCTCTTGGTCTCCTAAAACCCAGCACAAATGTTCGCCTGTAAAGCGCTGTGTATGTAATGGAGAAAATGACAGAAATAGAAAGTTATCATAGAACTGAAAGGCTATAACTTTCCTTCATAAAAGAAAGAGGCTGTGGTGGTTTCCAAGCTTTGCAGTGGAACTGCCATCCGTCCATGACTTACATCTTGTAAAAATATCTAAACTGAGTGGAAATTTGACATAAGCAGGCCAGCCATTAATAACTCCAACAGATGGACACTGACTAGCCCAAGATGCTGCTGAAGCGCCATGTGAAACTAAAGCAGTTTTAATCTCATTAACACAAGGGTTTGTAACATTCTTCAGTTTCAGAAAGGACAATATTTCTTACAGTTTGATATCAAACCTCTATTTGCAGTTATGCATTTACCTGGTTGCCAGGCAGCAAGGTGACCAGATCATTCAAGTTTAGAAGGGCGGCACTTTTGAAAAGACATTATGTTGTTGATATTTTTCAGTGAAGGTTCTTGTTCAACTCTAGAAAAGTAAATGTTGTGTCCCCTGTGTGTTCGTCTATATCTTTCTATAAGCTAAAGCTAAAATTAGAAAATGTCAGGTAATTGTACATTACAAGTCATATTTAAAATGCTAATTTTTTATGATCATTACATTTTTTCTCTTTTCCATTCACTCTAACTTCTATACTGTGTGTAACAATGACATGTATGTTTTAATCATATTGTTTAGATCAATTACTTCCAACTATCTCACAACAATCAAGTACTGAAGTTAACATTCCTCAGCAATAGTTATAGCTTGAGAAAGATCACCCAATCGCTCTTAAAATTATTTCTTAATATGGCACATCAAATTAATTCATAGATGGACTAAGAGAAAGAAACAAAGAAGAAACAAACAAACACAGAAAGTAAACTATTCTTCATTCTCAATAAGCTACACTTCTTTTTAGGTCACAAAGTCTTTCTATGTATGGTCACAAGAGCTGGCTTTATCAACTTCATCTGAACTGCTAATAGTGTAAACCATGCAGGTGCCATAAATCTGGCGTGAGCTGCTGTAAAAACTCTGCAACTCTTAGCCACTTTCTACTTCTATTGGATTCTCCTGTATTTTGAGCAAAGACTGGCGGTGTTAGTTCTGTTATAATTTCCACATACCAAGTGCGAGTAAAATCATCCCAGTGACTGAATTACATGTTAAGTCAATCTAAAGACACTATTAGACACTCGTACTACTCTGGTGGCGCAAATGACATGAATTGGTCGGGAGCTGAAAAGGTTTCAACTTGAGCGGATATTAACGTTGCGATAACCCATCAGCATGAAGGTTGCCGGATGGCGTATGAAAGTAGAGGGTTGTTCACCAGTATCTAAAATGAAGGATAGACTGATCGTGTCGGTATGTGGGTGCCCCGAATGATATACCTTTTCTTTCAATTACCGAAACCGGAATAATAAGAAGCTCGCCTGGAGGCAAGTGAGTGAGGAGATTGGAATACCTGGTAAACTGTAAAAAAAAACCCTTTGTCTATCACTTGATCCTGCCGGTAAAATTGGCAGGGATTACTGTTGAAATTACAGTTGACGCGCAAATGAAGTGAGTAAATGCAATTCATAACGCGTCTAGATTTCCCCTAAATTAAGCAAGTTGATGATTTTACTCACGCTTGGTGTTAACACCCCATAAGTGTTAGTCACATGCTGCAAACCATCCAACAATTTTATTTTACCCATTCAACACCAAAACCTAAAACCTTTGATTTTAAACAGGGTTTACGTAAGCATGTCAGTATTATACTGCTAACATGTTTCAGCTCAAAACAAAGCTGTGCCTAAGCAAAGTCTCAATGGTCTGTTTCATTGAACATACAGTAAAATTGAAGCTTAATGTGGAATAGTGGCCAACAGGCAAAAGAGACCACTCTAATCTGTGGTCTTACCCATCATGCACTCTGGTAATAAAAACAAGCTACTCGAATTAGGCAAAACACAATTATGTGCCTCTCTTATGTAACCTAACTTATACAACGTCCCATGCTGTGTTAATGATGATGGGTAAATGAGGAACAGAAGCAGACTATTTATTGGTCTCACCTGAGTTCAATGGTAAAAGGACGGTCCACCTGAATAGTCCACTCACAGCGTGCATTGTTGGGGTAACTCTCCAGCACCAAATGCCCCTGTCGTTTACGTATCACACCCCCACACTCTGAAAAACACACGTAAATGGAGAGGCTACTATTTTGGAAACTTGTGCACATTTCAGGGCTGCCATGTAAATTTCAGAGGCTGTTAATCACAGCTTAATTATTATTGTGAGGGTTTACATTCTGTTACTTTGGTTACCATTCATGCCAAGATGCAATTACTCTTGAGTTTCCGAAGCAACATCACAGACCCTATGCTGTGTTCAAGAAGATGGATAAACATACAGGGAAAACAAATACAGTCTGGAGTCTTTCCAGGCACTGTTTTTAATTAAAGGTATGCCTGTTGTGCCCCTTGGCAGATAATTTGCATAAGGAGAAAGCTACACTGGGTATCTAAATGCTGCTTATTGAATCGCTCTATGGGGCTTTCAAAATGTTGATTCTGACTTGTCATCCAGCTCTTCATGGAAAAGCCTCGGGGGCTTTTGGAAGCCTTCCAAGTTGGCATAGTCGTCCCAGAGTAGACAAATCAGCAGGGAAGGGAGGAACATATAGCACATGGTATTTATTTAATCTAGAAGGAGAAAGAAAACGTCACAGCAAAGCCCTGCAGAATCCGTTAATAGGGGTAATGAAAGGACTTACTCAAGCAGTCTCCACCGGACCAGCCAGGGCGACACTCAGCGCAGTATTTGCCACTAATGAAGAAGTCATCCCTGGGCCCCCATGTCCCATTGTTACAGCGCTTACAGTTCTCAAATATACTGCAACCTAGAAGAAAGAAAGAAAGCCACAGGCGAAAATTAATTAGAGCTGGAGTCGACAAGCTATACAAACCATTTTTCATGACTCTCTCCAAAAGCTGTTTTTCTTTGTCTGAATTGAAGGCACGTTTGCTTGCCCAAACAGCCTGCAATGTAACCTTTGACTAAGCTCTGCTATACTCATTAAGCTCATCTTTCAGAGCAGTAGAATACACAGAAAATGGCAGCTCCCTGAAACAGAAATGTTGAGAAACCCCCCTGCGATGGCCTCCTGTGAGGATGGATTTTCACTTAAGAGCTGGCCTTGTAAATGCCCTGAGTATAGGTATGAGTTTTAACAACAAATGTTCTAGGGTGTACACATGGGGATACAGGACTGTACACAAAGCCTGGAACATTTTTCTCCTTTTTAAGAGTAAAATGTGATGTACAGGCATCCATTAAATTCCTGACAGCTGTTTTTCCCCCCATAAAGGAAAACCTGAGTGGATTCAAGCTGTGAGGAAAACATGACATACTTCCATAGGTGGATGGCATGTTGGAAAATAACACGAAGAAAGCAAGAGTTTGGATACTTGAAGTGAAGCACGTGTGCAGACTTCCCCATGTAATTACATACATACCTCTACTGTACAACGATGCGCTCATCTCTGAGTACAGTCACACATGAGTTATCCCCCATTTCATTGAGAAGTCAAAGATAAACACAGGATGATTTATTACCAAACTCATGCACCTTGTTGTTAGTTATAAGAAGAAGCCAATGTAAAGTTTCCATATGTCTTTTCACCTTTAAGTCAAATCAAGCGTGCCAGGTGTAAAGAGAAGACAACTATATGAATTGAAAAACCATTTAAGGGTAATACTGTGTAGAGATCATGATCATAACTCTTGAATATTTAAATTGCATGTCATCATTTAAATCCTTTCCCACTATTTTCACTGGTTCCTGGTTATAATGTAGAAGTGTTGCATCTGAAAGCTTTTTGCTAACTGCATTTAATACTTAAAAACAAAGAATGCAGACTGTATCTAATAATGTGAAAATTATCTGTGCTTTTTTTATTTATGTGAATGAAATAGACTGAAATTCCTATTTAGGGCCTTTTATGAAAAACAAATGTAAATATAACTATTACTGACAAGCCCAATGATTTCTGCATTGTAATCTTTAATGCCTGAATATGGAATGAGGAGATTGGTGTCAAAATACGTAGGTTATGGTGTGTCCACATGGGGGCACCAAGATGGACAAAAACTGAAAGTTCCTCACTGGAGCTTTACGCTGCTGTTTCAAAAATGCATTGTTAACAGGATAAGTACTGTAAAGTATAGTTATATGATTGAATTTGAAGCTGATACACAAAGAACACACTTAGGGCCTGATCTACTAAGATCCAAAATGGCAAGGGCTAAATTGCGTGTGCAAACTAAAAATTGCACATGCTATTAGTGGGCGTGTTGCAGGTGATCTACGATCATTGCGTGCGCAACTGATAGCGGGAGCAAAAGTGGTGTGGACTATTGGCTGTCACTATGGAGGGTTTGTAAGAGCAGAGTGTTTGAAGCCACGGGGTTGCACATATCGTTTTGTGGAACTGCATAAAAGGCAAGGCAAGTTTATTTGTATTGCACAATTCATACACAAGGCAATTTACAGATGCAAGAAGATATACTAGAAATCAAAAAAGGGATTAAAACAGTTTAAAATAAGACAAACAGATATTTTTTTTCGTTTGTTTCGTGTTTGACCGTATTATTTACGAAAATCGTAATTTTCCCGGAAAAACAAAATAAATCACAAGCTCTTGGACAAGGATCATGGCGTGTATTATGGCACTTTTGCATCCTTCTCCCCACAATGACCATGCGTAATGCTGCTCCAGTTTGCACGTGCCTTTCCAACGTGCTAAATATAGATGCAAAACAGTGACCGCAATCAGTTTCTGGGTTTGATAAATCACATTGCGGGTGCTAAATGATTCCATTTGCATCTGGTCCTCCCAGAATTTTGCTCGGTCTGATGATCTACATACATTCTGCATATTCATGAAGGAAAACACGCTAAATGGATTGCGCTCGCTGTTTTGCTCATTTGACAGATGCAATCCTCGGTGCACCCGGTTAGTAGATCAGGTTTGCATGCACTTTCAAGTTTGCACGTGTTTTTGCACACGCAAACCTTTAGTAGATCAGGCCCTTAGTATTTATCTGACATAATCCCTGTATTTATTTAAATCTCAAGATACAGTCCATTATATCAAGAAAAAATCTTTATCGGTTTGACTTGGCATTGTTCAGTGCTTTGGATAAAATACTTGGATAATTCAGTGGTCCCTTAGGTTTTTTTACTCATATAATGTTAGACTATTTGGTATTATGTCTGTACTTTTACTCAAGTCTAGCTTCAAGGTCAATTATCTATAGGGCCGAAATGATTCCTCGAGTACCTCAATTACAAAACATGATCGAGGAATTTTCTCTGTCTGGAGTATTCGTTCATAAGCTCAAATCATCACTGTTTTGCACAGATTATTTTCAAGGTGACACATCGCGTGTATGTCACCATGGTAAAAGGAGGAGTAAGCGCAGTTTTGGTTTTGTGGAATGGAAGAAAATGAATGATGAGAGGGGCTTTTCTTCTGCAGAGCTCCAGTAGCTCATTAGCACTTCACCTCTGAGTCATGGGCGGAGACAGCGCTGCTCTGCAGGGTCCTCTTCATGCTCCTCTTCACGCTAGCTTTCAGCCTAACATTACCGGTTTAGTAGAAGTAGCAGGCAACATAGGAGCTATTCAGCTCTCGGACACTAATGTCTTTAGGGGCATGATGAAAGCTAATATCATAATTAGCTTTCTTACAAGCATTGCAGTCCGCTAACACACACGTTTGTTCCGCAATTGTTCCATGATAATCGCACTTCAACTAACAAAAAAGTATATATTATCCGATTACTCGATTGATCAATGAAATATTTGGTAGAATACTCGATTACAAAAATATTTGATGGCTGCAGCCCTAATCATCATGTATCCCTGACTAAAACAAAGATCAGTTTCAAGGATGGAGATGTATGACTCACCAAAACAAGCAGATGCAAACTGCAGAAAGAGACCACTCTGTATGTGTTTGCGATATTTTAAAATTCAATCCCTCATTCTAAAGTAATTATATTTAGAGAGGTTCTACCTGGATGGATGATGCAGGGATCACACTCATTTATGGCGTTGCGGCAGCAGGGCACTGCATAGCCCACTGGTGTCCCCTGCAGAGGGCATTTACAGCGGATCACATCATACTCGCAGCAGCCTCTGCACATGACGTTCCACTCAGGGCCTGGGCAGTGGTTGTACAAATACCTGTAATCTAAATGAGACAATACATCAGAGGCAGGAACTCAGCCAAATCACTCAAACAGGAAAGCAGGAAACATTTGTTTATGTAACCATTACCTTGGACAGAGTAGGAGGGGAAAGAGGAGTCAGTTTGGAGGGAAATTTGATTCATGTACAGATCAGCCTTGTTGGAAAAGGAGCCCAGACACAGGTTATGTTCAGCAGTGGAAGGATTCTGGTGAGTCCAGTGTTTATCTGAACTCTTGCTCTGCACTGACTCTGCTTATTTCCACTGCTACATGATTGCAAGCTTCAAGTTAGGGGACCACAAAACATTCAGTGGTTGACCTCCTGTGTGTTCTTACACTATTACATCAGAAAATACGCCACACTAGTAAAATCACTGTCACAGAAAACAGAATTCAATCATATTTTAGAAAGTGAATAAAGAAGCGAACTGTAAATATTGACCTTCTTCTTTTTGCTCAGCGTTTTATTGGATTGAAAACCAGTGACTCAAGAACCTTTGAGCCTGAGTGGTTACTATTATGTAACAGTGGATTTGAAAGCTGAAAAACACAAGTGGAAATTCTCTTGTGGCAGATGTGGACTGAGGACTAACAGAAGCTGCACTTTAGTCTTGGCACATTGTCACTGCAGCATTTTTTAACTCTCCTCCCAGCTCTGCAATCACAATAAACTCCTGCCCATGACCCCAGCCCCCGCCACCACTACCACAATCCAACTGTTCTTCCTGTTAGTTTACAACCTTAAAACTCACAAACACACTTGTATACTGGTTTTAATTGTAAAACATAAATTGCAAGCTGGGTCAATTTGTCCTTTATAAGAGCATTAGGAAACCTAGAATCTCAGACAGAGGCACACAAATGCGTCGATGCACAGGAGCAACAAGCAAAAGCAATTAATCTCTGAGTGGATGTTTGCAGACGGTCAAGCAGAGAGGAGAAGCACAGATGTCTTGGAATGCTTTGAGATGTCCCCTGCTGCCCTTCCACATTAATGAGATCATAAATTGTGACACAAACCAGCCAGTCTGGCCTTCCAGTCTGTTGTTTCCTTTTGAAGACACGGTGACGTACGGCACACAGATATTAATCAAACAGAGAGGAGGTTATATAATGATACAAGGTCAACTTCAACCCAGGTATGAAGGAATAGATCAAGAATGTGTGCTTCATAAAGCTGTTGAGGGGTTTCGGTTGTTTTATGATTTCCGTCTCTTCTCTTACTCGTTTATTGCTTTGATAACAGCGGCTCATCTGGATTGTTGAAGCATGTTCTCGCAAGCCAAAAAACATGAGGGCAGTCTGTTTTCTTTATGGCATGGCGTGCAAAAGATCGTAAGAATATGATTTGTTGTCATTCATCTTTACTGCAGCCATGACATTCACGCACGCCAGTCACTTGCACAATGCTCGTGCTGTCACATTAACTCACAGAAAAGATTTCTTGTGGCTAAGAGCAATCTAAACTTACAACCTCAGAGCTTTGTTTTTGAATCAAAGCAGACGTTCTGGCATTGTCTTCTCCTGTTAAACTCGATATGTCTCATTGGGACCAAAACAGGGAAGCTCATAGGTTTAGACCAGAAGGACATTTCTGTGGATTTCTTTTGACCAAGTGTAGGGACCACAAACATCCAAGGCATGGGCATGGCCTGTACACTTAGAAAGATGACTATTGTGATTGAAAGAGGATGCTGTACAAGGAGTGAGGCCATATACTGTGCATCATTCATACTGAAAGTCAACCTTTAGCCTCATTCAGTGGTGGCTATAATGAAATCACTTGAGGCAACTCACCTGATTTCTATTTCACCAATAGGAGACACAACTGGCCTTGAACAGCTTCATTTTAAAAGAGTGTATGCCATTCAAAGTGAGCTATGACAGAAACTGAAACCCACTCTGTATGTTGTCAGTACATCTTGAGATTCAGCTGATCATGTTGTTAACTTAAGGCAAGCTCCGGCTTATTTATAGATGCAGAAGGTTTCTTCCTCCATGTTGCTCCGTGGAGAGTTTTTTTCTTTGAGTTTTTCACGAGCTCAGGCGCTCACACTTTTTTGAAGAGAAATCAGACTGAGACGCAAAGGCAAAAGAACTACTGTATCTGCAGTGCACATACAAAATACACAAGAATTCTGATTGCATTTCCATGAAGTAATGATCATAAATGTTCTTCCTTGAGCTGTGAAACTCCACTGCACTCTGTGATTGACTCGTCAGGGCTCCTCCCACAAACAAGGGGCTGCTGGAGAAGAGTGGGTGAGTTGTGTATCGTCTCTTTGCTAAAGAAATCAGGCAAAGTTAAAAAGATGTTTGATGGCTAGTACTATGGCTATGACCCTATATGTACTGTTGATGAAGTTAGGTGCTGTTCTGAGCATTATTTGTGTCTATTGAGTGGCTTTTTGGTTGAGGTTTGCACATGGAAGTGTAGACCACTGTATATTATAAGAGGGTATACACTGGATCTTATGCTTTCCACTGTCACTCGATAACAGTTATTGGACTTTGTTAGAATTTATAGGCATACATATTCTGAACTGCTCCCTATCACAAACTTGTAAATGTAAGTGAAAACAATACAAATTTCAACCAACTATTATCGTTATTTCCATTGCAGTTTGACTCAAATTACATAAGCTAGATGTAATAAATTAAGGGAAATAGACCAAAGCCAATGCCAAGTGTTTCCTTGCTAATAGTAATAGTCCATTTACCGTGACTCTTAGCTGCTGTGCAGTGACTGATGTTGGATAAACCATGTGTTAAAAAGGTGTAAAGTCTGTCACATGAGGATTTTGTTGTGCTGACACTCAGTCTCCAGTCCTTCCTCACTGAGGTTTGCACATGAAGCTGGTCAGGGACTGTGGAAACCTGATTTATAGAGCATAACATGAAGAGACTTTATGAGCTCGTCTGGTAATGTCATTTCATGAACTGCTGCTGTGTCTTTTCCTGAGATAGAGAAATGGCACCACGAGGATGTAACGGCACTGAGTGCTCTTAAAGAAGATCCCCGATCTTCAGGAGGGAAAAGCAGATTTCTATTTGTTGAACAAGAGCTCGGAATTCATCTTTTGGTCCCACTCCAGACAGTTTTTTTTACAGATTACCCACAGCTGATTTCTTAATGTTCCTCACTGTGATAAATAAACTCCCTCGGCAGCATTGTAGTGTTTATTCCTTGTGAACAGACTCAGTTAACTGACCTTCAACTCTGTTGATAAGACTGAAATATTTGTATCTAGAGCGTGACTACAAGGCTCTCCCCTCAGTGCTGGACGCGTGCTGGAATGCATCTTTATTTCTCTGGATAGCTCTCTCCTCTCTTTAATACGTGTTTACTGATTTACAACACTGGAGACCATTCTTGCATAACAGGGCTCAGTATGCACTCCAGCTTTTTGAATATCTTCATCCCAGTGACAAGCTTAGTGCCTTGTAAAAACACATCTGCCATGCTTCCAGGTCAACACCTGCAGGTAACTACAGCCTGGACAGTAACTATTTCATTGTGGCTTTTTACGGCAGGTGAGGAGGTCTGAACAGCTGTGGAAGTGCACATACACAAGACGATGAATACTTGCAAGAGGGTGATGGTAAAGTTATTAAACACATTGTTTGGTCAACACTGTAGGAATACAGGGGTTGAAAAGTGATGTTTTTTGGTTGTGCATTGAATTTTCCTGCATAAATCTGTGGATAAAAAAAGATTGTGGAAAAAAAAAAAAAAAAACATCAACATGTCACAAGACCTGTAATTTCACCTGTAAGACTGCATGCCTCTGGCTAATGTGTACATAATCACAGAGTAGATGTGTTGACAGCCATCAAAAAGGTACAGTAACTGGGAAGAAACCGATCTCGAAAATCAAAGTGTGCTTTTTTTCATCAAATCTCTCTGATGTTTATGTGTGTGTGTTATAGTGTCTTCATACTGTGTATCCTCAGTGCACATAAGGAGTATTGTGTCTCTGTGTGTGCGAAGACACTGGCGTCACGCCAAACACAATATAAAAACAGATCACAAATGCCCCCCCTCTCCAAGTCCTGCAGCTATGTGTGCAGATTTTTTTGTGTGGGATGTTTGGATTTACTGGTCTTATGTAAGTGGTATCTGATTTTTATTCTACTCCAGATGTTGAGCTCCTAAATGTACTTCTCAACATGCATGTCAAGGAATGACAGAGATGAAAACATATAGCAGTAACACAGGCATCATAACAGACGTCATGTAGCTTGGTGGAGATCCCAGTGCATCAAAAAACAGCCCAAACACTATTAACCAGCATGCACACCTTTAATGTGGATCCAGAGACTGACATCATTACCACCAGGGTCAGAGAAGGGGGCCACGGGAATACAAGCGAGTTCTATCACCTTTAGTCTGACCTCACTGCTGGCCAAGAAATCTCTAGATGTGCAACATAAAACTCTGAAATGTTTTTAAGTTCAGTGAGACACATTTCTTGACTGTATTCTGAGAAAATACAAACCTTACAGATGTACACAACTCAGACTTGAGAACCCCCACTGATAAATAGATTTACTACATGCAAAATCTGCAGCAGCTGCTGACTTTGACCTAAAAAAGTGACTCATACTTCTGCATCAGCTTTAAGCTGAACAATCATCTCTTGAGAGTAACTTCTTCACTGCTCTGCAAAGATTTAAACTCAAACTCATCACTCGCCTCTTTATTTGCTGTGACTGGGTATTATCATTGACTGTAGTTAACAGTCAGCCGCTGCCTCAGGAGTCTCAGATAACTTCTATAATTAGGGTCAAATGTGATATCCAAATGCTATCAGCATCCCAGCAGGTCACGCTGCTCCCTGTGGTATTTAAAGCTGTTATTGTCTAGTTCCTCTTCTTCCTTTTTGGCTGCTCCAACACCAAAACTTTTATCAGCCCGAGTCTTGTCCTGCTGCGCACAATGATCATAGCTCTGCTATTTTTAACTCCAAACTAAGCTAAAGAGCACAATACAGAGAGCAGAGCCAAGAGAGGACTCTGAGATGACTTTAACAGGCTTACCAGACCAGACACAACGCGGGTAGCTGAGTCATATGGAGGATGTTGGAAATGTTTTTCCATCCTACATGAAAATATTCAGTAGCTCAAAGACTGAAATGGTTTTATGTCTGTGTGATAGATTGAAGCTAAGCCAAATAAGCTTGGCTTATCTTCACACAAAGCTTTACTGGATTTGTAACTTCTGATGGTTTCATGGTGAAATTGTTTTCTCTTTGGGACCACCAGCTGCTGGGTTACAAGTTGAGAACTTAGGGTGTGAATGCACCTCCAAAAGTCCTCGGACCGCTTCTTTAAGCCAAAAATCCTGAATTTGATTTACATTCATACCAGGATTATCAAAAATAATCACCCATGGTTTAATATCTAATTCACATACATTTAAACAACTTGAAACCTCGCTAAACCTTAAAAAACTCATTTCTCTGAAGACATTATGTGGGCTTGTATTTGATTCAGATTCAGAATGGTGTCTCTCACTAATTAGCTAGTTGGCACTTGTGCACACTTGTCATCACGACAGCCTCCTCTCCTGTCGTACTCACTCAAAAAAGAGACTCAGACCTGCCTCCTCCTGCTCCTCTCCCTGCTCTCCTCTCTCCACCTGTGGCTGCCTGATAGTTTGTGCCACTGCTGAACAGCCTGTCGAAGATACAGGGGTCCACCATTAATCCTCGTAGTTTCTGCAACTTCCTTGTAATCCCAAACTTTGTTTCCCATCGATACAAGCTTCTTTTAATAAAATGAAGTTAGAGCTGTTTGAGAGTAGGGGCCGCACCTACACTCTGCTGTTAAGGAAGAGAGGGAGGGCGCTCTTTATTCAACTTCTGGGGAAACACAACATATAGTAATAGCATATTTGTTATGATCGTGGGGACCCAAACTCGTAATCAAAATTAAAATCTGAGTAATTGCCCAGCTCTACAAAGTCCCTTGTTACAACATCAGCATGTTAATTCACTGATCAGATTTTAAGGTTTAGCCAATACTTTGTATTTCATGTTAAATTTGATGCTAGATGGAACCAAGCTTAACATTTTCCTGAAGTTTGCAGCTTCTCGACAGAGCCAAGTCAAGCCAACTCTCTAAACAAAACTAAGTTAAACTAAGCTAAAATGACATTTCAGCCCCCTGTTTTACACAGTAGTAAAACAATCTTTCCTCTGAGTCCTTGCTATATATATTTCTCTACATATCGATCTCTTCTTTTACTGTTTAGCTCACCTGACTGAAAAATAACAATATATTCTGATAATTAATCCCTCATGGCATCTACCCATGTAGATTCTATCAATTTTGTGTAATCATACTGATTTGTATAACCTCTACCACATCATTAAATCACAACTGTTCCCCATAAGTCGGAAGAAGTAATGCTGAAAATCAAGAAAAAAACAAAACAAAACCCTGAGAACAGAGAGTAGCAGGTTACAGTATCCTCCAGCGAATAAATATTTTCCTTCTGACAAAATGGTGTTTATATTTTATACTGGAAATATCAGCCATAGTTATTTTTCCAGCAGCTGTGAGTGCATGTGCTGTGCGCGTACAGTTCACTTTACCTCCTACCCACAGCAGCTGTCTGGTATTTTGAGGTTGGAGCAAATTTGCTACCATGGAGCTGGGAAACTCCCAGGGGGAGCTCTGCGGGCGTTATGTATCCAAATGCAGCTCGATCCTGAGCACTGATCCCAATGGTCATCCTGTATGTCACTTTAAATAAACTTCTCTCTGCTAGGAAACCACAGACTCATAGGAATATCCTTTCGATCTATTATCCACTTTGAGGAAATTGTATGTAGACACGCCAGTATGTAGGTCAAACAGCAGACAGAGATGTGCACATTTGTTTCGAACTTGGAGTGACCTCTTGAGTTTTTTGTGACCCTTTATTTTCCATATGCTCAATCTTACACAATGTTTTTCATTTTCCAACAGCAGTCTCTGCCAAGATTACACGCTGTCCAGTGTTAGATCATTTTTATTTATGCAAGCTTTGGCTTTGTTTCATTCATCACACTATCTAAAAGACCCCTGTGGATTTTAGTAAAACAATCTATAGAGAAAGATCAAAAGAACAGGACATTTCAGGACTCGTGTGGGTGGAGGATCCTGAACAGGACACTTTGGATGAACCCCACTCACACATGCACTGGTCTCCCATATCCTCACATTTTCCAGAAGGGGGCTGCATGTGTAAACCTATATGGTCCAGTCTAATCACGCAGACTTTAAGCAGACGTTTTCTTACCTGTCACCAATAAAATGTCCTCGAGAGGTCAAGGTGAGCGAATGAAACCTGGATCATTCTTCATAAGTAAGCGGTTGTGATGACATTGTTGACTTTGAGTGGAGGTTTGCTCCCTTATTCTCTTTCAGCTTGGTTTCAGTGCCACTATATTGTTTTCCACTGTTGTGTTTGTACTGCAAAAATGACTGTACTGCATGTTAAAGTGGTGGAAACAGGGAAATATCTTCCATTACTAAAGATGACAACTCCCACAGTAATCCATCCCCCTCTCACCAAAACAAAACAGAGTATTTTGGGTTGAGTTTGAGGTTGTTCGTGCATCCAACACTGATAACTTTCTGCTGTGAGCTGAATGTGGAAAGCAATCCCAGAAATATCAGGGCGTGAATGTCCTTAAATTGACTGAAAAATGTTGGCGGTGGATATGTGTTAGGAGCAAGAGATCAAAAACAGCTTGGAAAAGACACCCAAACATGCACGAATGGACATAAACACAGACACAGGCAGATACAGACAAGCCAAAAAAAGAGTCAAGATCCACGTGTAAACAAGTCTGCTCTGCTTAACAACAAGAAAAGAAACGATTTGAGATTGCTCAATGGAAAACAACTATCATCAGCTGATAAAGCACGATTATGAAACAGGCTGTGCTTACAGTGAGTGACTCAGCTGACAACATAATCTGCCAGAGGGAACTCTCTTAATCACTCCAGCTGAAAAACAGCTGCTCTCTGCCCAGAGCTTCACCACATTCACCAAAAATACAAATTGAAAGGATTATTTACGGCATGGTGCCCTTTCTTATAGGATTCAAACAGAGGGCAGAGATGTAGTTGGGAATCTTGGAGACGGTGTACGGTATACACATTACTAAAGCAAGCGTGATTGACTCAAACGTGACTCATGTCTTCCAGTTCAACTGTTCAACCCAGAGTAAACAGGCAGGGATGATCTCAACCTCAGCCACAACACACTTTTAAAGAGAAGCTTGCATACAAAAGGGAACACGTGCCAACGGCCCTATTAGGACTTGAACGCCTCATTTTACCTCCAGGAATGTGTGGCAACAACCAACTGTTGTCTGATTTAACAACAAAATAAAACAGCATGTTACTCTATTTCCAACGAAAAACAAATGCAATATGAAAAAGGAGGATAAAGATCACAGATCCTTTTTATAAATAGGATCATAACAAACCCCAAAGGGCAATCCCTCACTCTATTACACAACAAGAGTTGTAAACCAAAGATTGCACAAACTTGTCACTGATGTTTTCTTCCGTGCTTTGTAGAGGCTGGATTGGGCATCACTCTCTTTCTGTGTCTTTTATGTACTCTGCTGAGCACTTTCTTGCTTTTTAAGGATAGAAGGGAAGAGGAGATGTTGAGAGTGCTGATGCCGGCTTTTTGAGAACAAAGAACATAAACTGAGAGGCTGCGCCAACACAGAGACAGAGACAGAGAGAGAGAAAGGGAAGACAAGCAGGAGAGATAAAACTCTTACCGTAGGGCCAGGCTCTCCCCTGGGGCAAGAAGATGAGGATGAAGAGAGAGATGAAGAGGAACCAGCCCTCCTTCCCAGGGATAAAGGTGCTGGTCCAGGGGATTGAATGGGTACCCCTGTGGGTTTGCCCCAACTGCAGTCCCCGTCCCGCAGACAGCATGCTGCAGTCTGGAACTCTGTTTACTTTCTGAACTCAGCTGACATCACCTTCTCTCGGCCCTTCAGTCCTTCCCTCCCCCTCCTTCATTTCTCCCTCTCCCTCTCTCGCTCTCTCTTTCTCTCTAATTTCATTCTCTCTCTGTTTCTCTCTCTCTCTCTCTTACTTCTCTTTGGCTTCAGGTTACAGCCCAGCCTTGCAAAGGAGTTCCACTTGCAGTGGTCTCCCAAAAACTCCCAAAGCTCCACTTAGAGGACGACGTCACTGCTCGTGAATGAATGCAGGCTCCAGTGTTTTTATGCTTAACTCATTACCGTGACTCTCACTTATACACACACGCACGCACAAGCACACAATGAGAGGAAATATCGTATGTGACTGCCACACTGTCAAGACCAATAATGTGGTGATAGAATTTATGGTGACCTTACTGCATATGTGCTCATGACTAAAAAATCCAGAGATCAGGATTATTGTAGTCCACACCTATGTCAGTTAGAAAAAGGAGCTGTGTGTCGGCTCAGAGAGTTATCATTGAGTTTATTTAAAGTAAGTTTAAAGAGAAAACTCAGAGACTTCACTTTAATCAAACAGCATAGAAAACAGCACACTTTCTTACAAAGCAAGATCTGAAAATTATGAAAAGATCCTACTTTAAAAATGTTTAACTAGTCCCACAACAACTCAGTAAAAATAAACACAAATAAATCCTCAAACTGACTATTGTGCTTGATGATCCTTTGTTTGATAAGATTGACTGTATGCACTGTTATCCTTGTACAAAGATGCATGGCATGTGTCCTCCTACTGAGATTATAAAGCAGTAATGCCAAAATGCCCCCACCCCCCACAACTTGTGCATTTGAAGTTTAAAACTGCACCCTCAAGGCACCAGCTCTAAGAGCCCAGATATTCACAGAAACCCCCTTCTGCTAACCCAAACCCACCTTGAACTTTCCCCAGGTTGACAGAATCATCAGTATGCTTGTTTTTGTGCCAGTTTGAAGCCAGTTAAATGACTCTTGTTTTAGTGTTTTTGACATTTCCACTCAGCGTTCCTCCCCCTCCTGTGCTCACGGCACATCAGGAGCTGCATCTGTCCAAATAACTGTCAATCATGTCTTTTACCTCATTTTTACCATCAAATGACTAATTCAAACCAAACTTCTCAGAAAAATCAACTCTTCTTCAGCCCTCATTCTTCTGGTTTCATTTTTCGGGGTCATGTCATGCCCAGCTTTTCACACAGACTACATTTAAGGGATATTCCAGCGTAAGATTAAGTTTAACAGGAGAGCAACACCCGAGTTAGACACCCCCTCGAGAGATGAATGTTGCCGACTGCTTGCTTCTCTAGTTATACCAACTTTAGTAACGACTGCACAATGGCAATACACAGCAGTCTACGTCTCCATGCATTAACCTCAACCAAAAAGTCACTCTATAGCCACAAATAATGCTCAGAACAGCACCTAACTTCATCAACAGTACATATAGGGTCCCAGCCATAGTACTAGCAACCAAACATCTTTTTAACTTTGCCTGGTTTCTTTAGCAAAGAGACTAAACACAAATCACCCACTCTCCTCCAGCAGGCACTTGTTTGTGGGGGAGCCCTGACGAGTGCAGCAGAGTTTCGCAGCTCAAGGAAGAACATTTATGGTTATTCCTTCATGGAAATGCAATCAGACCCAGCCGCCAAGGCACAAGAACTACTGCGTCTGCAGTACAAAATGATTATTATGATGATTTTTACTTCATGAAAAGGATCCGCTGCACTCAGTGATCGATTCGTCAGGGCTTCCCGACAAACAAGTTGCTGCTGGAGGAGAGTGGGTGAGTTGTGTTTGGTCTCTTTGTGAAAGAAAACAGGTGTGGAGATGTAGACTTCTGTATTGCTATCGTGCGGCCGTTACTAAAGTTGGTAAAACTAAAGAAGCGAGCAGTTGGCAACATTCATCTCTCGAGTGGTGCAGGGTGTTTGACCCATAGACTATATATATTATGGACAACTTGGTTCTGCCTTCTGCCTGCATACGGATTTGAAGCCAAAAAGCTCTCTGTATTTCCGGGATTTTTCTTCATTTCCGGAAACCAGCGGTGCGCAGTAGCGATGCGTGCATTCGGCCGTGCAGTCGCCGAGAGTCGCTGTGATGACGCTCCGCTCAAACAGCGTATCCCCCGGGTGAGCTACGCAATCCCTGAACGCCCATAGGCTGTACCAGGTGTCAATCATAGCAAACATGAACCCCCTAATAACTTTTGAAAACGGAGCCGTAAAGAAAAAAAGAGGACTTGAGCACAAACCAGTCTTACAGTAACTACATGTCAACATCGCAAGCAGGGGGGATTTATGACCTAAGAGCCCATAAATTTAATCTGGTTGTCCCTGATGTTACTATTGTCTTCTTCAGTCTATGGTTTGAAACTAATATTGTGTTGAAGTCTCTTCAAGTGCCATCATAATTATGTACTGAGCACATGCATACAAGTAGTGAGATGGAAAACCGAACAAGGGGTGTTGTATAGTTAGAGGGTAATTATGCAAAAATAGATACCTGGTATCATCTTAATGATTAACAAAATGATTTATTTAAATGGCCAGAAAAAACAGTCCCATAGCATAATGCTGTTAGTATTGCTTTCTGTTCATTTTCTTCAATTGATCAATGTTTATTTAATTTAGCTCCATGTGTGTTTTAATATTCCTTGCTAGCTTTCCTCCACTCGTCTACATGTCTCTGTTGTTGACTTGTCATCCATTAACCACCAATCTTAAGTTCTATATTTCCCACATAAATAAAGTGTAATTAAAAAAAATCTCTTTATGCTGTTAATCAACCGAGAATTAACACACTTTTAATTTGACAAGATAAATTTAATCTGGTTGTCCCTGATGTTACTATTGCTGTTCAGAGTTAATTAATATTGTGTTGAAGTTTTGGCCAATCAGAATCAAGAATGAGTCTGGTGTACGTCCAGCTTAATTTAGTTTTGAAAAAAAAAAAAGGGCCACAGATTTGTTTCCCTTCTGATTTCAAACCTGAGCAGAGAAATAGACATGTCAACAAAGTTGTTAAAGATACTTTCTCTTCTTACAAGGCTTGTTATTCTGAGTAATCTCCGGGGTGTGTTTTATTTCAGCTGGACACAGCCCTGGAATTAATTCGTTTGTTATTTTTTCCTCACTGAGTCTCAACGCTGTATGCAACAGCTAACAGGGAATACAGATGAAAAGACTCAAAGCAAGAGAATCAAATAACCCTGCCATTTGCCTGAAACAGCGGGGTTTAGTCCATAGAAGGAACACACAGTGATGTTTCAGCTCTATATGTACATGTGTGGTATGGGAGCACTGACATCAAGAGAGCTTATGAAGAAGATAAAGGAGCAAGGAAAGGGAGTGCTGAAGGAGAGTGGGAGGAAAAAGGAAAACCAAGAAAAAGAGGGGGTAAAGAAAATATTGTCTGCCTTGCTGTGCTTCCCCTCCACCTTTCACCACCTCCCTTCTGTTTGTCCAGATGCCTAATGGTTTATTATGTGAAACCCAGGGCTTTTAGCTAAAAGTGAACACTACTATTTTGAGAGAAATCACAGCTGCAGTCCAATCTGTCAGACAAAGACAGATGAGACAGAGTAGCTCTTTCTGGTATTATAGTCATAGAAAACCTGTATCTCATTTGATTTTATTTGTTCTTTTTAAAATGGACTGTTAAGCTTAAAATAATGTATCACAAGTTACCAAGGTGTAATTTGCTGACCTCCACAGAGATAAAGCTTAACAACTCAGTCATGGATGGGAGCTGGGAGTAATGACAGTGATCATTGTAATAAACAGAGATATTCATTCAAGTTAATTGTGCATGCCTACAGTTCTAGGCATGACTAATCCTCATGAGAACTATCTTTACCATCACTATTGTGCTCACTTGAGAAAGATCTATTGTTGCCCGCTTATCTGTATCAGTCGTGCTGCTGCGTTTGGTGAAGATTCAGATCAAAACAGTAGGACACAGCTGGAAACAGTCGGCTGTGGTTGCGCAGGTCTGGTCATGTAAGATTTATGTTTAAAGTAAAAGGGTTGGTTGAACCAAAATTAGCACTCTAAATAGGCTTTCTTGTAGCCTGGGTCTGTGTGCTGTGTGAAGCTCCTCTAACAGCTCAACCTTGGCCCATATTCCTTGCCTACAGCAAAATCCACTCAGGTGTTGTCACCACAGCCTGAAACCAACATGGTAATAAATGAAGTGTAAAAATAAAAAACACCCAGAGTGGTATAGATATATTTAACACAGTTTACCACAGACCCTAATGTGTTAATTTTAGATTATTTATACGGCCATGTGTATTTTATAGATAGTAAAAAAAAATAGCCCGAAATGGGATTATAGGGCAGCATGGTGCCTGAGCTGGACAAGAGAACAGTCTTATGTAAGCAGCGTAACAAAGCAGCAACCTCCAGTGTTAAGAAAATAAAGCTAAAAGGGAATTTTTCATAGCCTGGCACATTAAAAACAACAACAACAAAGAAACCGATTTCCTCTGAACTTCAGTCCTGCATTTGTTGCAACATTACTTTGTACAGGAGGTGATTTTTTTGTATACCTCAAAAGTGTTGTTTCTTTCAGGCTAAGAGCCTTTAATGTAATTGGTGTTTTACATCTCCTGGCTGATAAGTTACCTTTTTTGTCATTTACAGCACGTTTCATGTCTTACTTGGAAATTCACCCTTATCTCTCATTTCAGGTCTGCTGACTTCCTGTTCCCTGAGTAACCCGTTCCCTCGATAATTCTGATGAATCTCAGCTGTGTCTGAACTCCACTCCCCTGGTGTATTTAGGTTCAGCTTTATTCCCTTCAGTTAATCTTCCAGCTCATTCTCTGCTTGATCTCTGCACAACTATTAAATGGACTTGAACTTTTGATTCCAGTCTTTTAAGTCTTGCATTTGGTTTCAGTTTCATGGCTCAGAGCAGCAGTGGTGTGATGCATTGTGGGGCGTGGTTGATTTGACCAACGGGTCAGCATGTTGAAGGTATTTGCCATGGAGCTTGGCTATAGCATCGACTCCACTCATTTTCCCTGTTCCAATATGCTTCACTTTTGGTACAGATGAGACACATCCTAACTCTCGGGCTTGTTAATTCATGTATTTAATACATCATAACTAGAAACCAAAGGAGGATGTCACTGAGATTATACCAGGTGAGCTACCTGAGTTGAATGTGTTGAATTAAATGTCATGGTTACTTTTATCTTTTTGGTCAGCACGGGAAGTTGTCTTTAATGGGTGACTCTGTGGGAACCAGTAAATAATTGATTCTAAAAGAAAGAGAAAAGTATAAATACACTACGGTGACCAAATGTCCTGTTTTCCCAGGACATGGTCTGTATTCACGTCCTGTTCTGGTTGTTTATCATAAAGTAATGACAATGTCATGGTTTTTAATGTTTTTCATTGGGCCACTAGGATGAAGAAGAAAACTAAAGACATTGATATTTTTTGTAAGTTTGTGAGAGCTCCATCCATCCATCCATTTTCTCCCGCTTATCCCGTTGGAGGTGGCAGGGGGGCTGGAGCCTATCCCAGCATCTTGGGGCGAAGGCAGGGGACACCCTGGACATTTCATTACAGGGCTGTCATAAAGAGACAAACAACCATCCACACTCACACCTACGGGCAATTTGAAAGTGACCAATTAACCGAACCCCACTTCTGCATGTTTTTGGGATGTGGGAGGAAACCAGAGTACCCAGTGAAAACCCACACTGACACAGGGAGAACAGGCAAAACACCCTGACCTGGATTTAAACCCAGGACCTTCTTGTTGTGAGGCAGTGCTTACCCCTACACCGCTGTGCCGCGTTTGTAAGAGCTATTTTTGTTAAAACTGGATTGCTAATGTAGCGGAGGTATTTTTAGTTATTTATTACTTATTTATTTTTCAAATACAGAAGAGATATCATTTCCATCATTATTTCATTCATTATTTTTTAAACTTATCTTCATAAAAACATGTTGAGCAACCTCTGAGAAGCCTATCTGTCTTTGGTCATAGATGGTTCTTGGTAATAAAACAATTGTCTATCCATACAGAGGAAGCATACTTTAAATGTATTGAAATTATGAGACATCGTTGAGTAAATTTCAAGTATTATTTGAATATCTCATCGTCGGGCCGAGTATCCAAGTTTCCACTAATCAAAATACGGTCACCCCAAAATCATACCATACATTCATGTTTGGTCACATTTTGATACATTCTTTAAGACCCATTTCACTTTCCCTGTTGCATAAGTGTCTACTATAGCCCAGCAGTGTGTAGCATTATCCAAAAACACCAATTGTTGACCTCACACACACTCACTAGATTCAAACTAGGATTTTCTTCAATCCTTCAAAATGGAAATCTTGAGATATTTAGAAAAC